GTCTCCCTGGTCTGCTGGGGGGAAGCAGCTAGTGCGGGGTTGCCTCACTCCATTTGTAAGTAGGGATCCGATGTAAGTCGGATCCATGTAACCCGGGGACTGCCTGTACTTTGCATTTGTAAGACATACTTCACACAGTGATCTGAAAGCGCTTAAAACATTAAGTCTCTCTACCTAGGCAGAGAATTTATCCTTATTTTACAGAGAGAAGCAGCAACTAGCAGTTAAATGCTATGTCTAGGATGAGGAAGTAAGGAACAGAAGTGAGACAAGATCGTAGTCCCAATTCCAAGTCACTTACATCAACCGCTAAATATAACACTACCTGACTGAAGTAAAATTAACCTAGAATTACCCCAGTGCAAGGTTACCATACTATTCAATTTAACAAGTTATCTAAGTATTAGAGTGTCATCACTACTGTTTACTGAGTTAAGCTGCTAATTTTTACAGCCAGCCAATGCAGGCATATTATTAATCCACAGTGACTAATAGCTCAGCTGAGCTATTAAAGTACATGCAGGTCAGAGTGCATGGTCCTCTGAGCTAGTCCAAGGAGGAATTAGATTAAAACTACAGACACATACAACTCATGTGATTTATTCTAGCTTGCCAAGGAAACACAGAGCTACTCAAGAGTTAAAACTCTAGGCCAGTGGTTCCCAACCCGTGGTCTGTGCTGGGGGGCCACAAAGTCACTGCAGGGGGTCCAAGGAAAGTTTTTAAATGTAAGGATCAGGATCCTTATATTTCCTTTCCTTTACTCCTCCCCCTCTCCCCAGGAGTATGAGGAGGGGGGCTGCCGTGTGCTCCAGGTTGTGGCTTGCTTTTGATCCCGTTCCCCACTTGCTAAGGGAGCATGGGAAAAGTGCTTGAATCCCGTGCATGCCTCTTACACACCAGTCAGGAGTGAGAGGCATGCATGGAATGCAAACACTTTCTCCACACTCCCTTAGCTTCCAGAGAACAGGATCAAAAGCAAGCCGCATCCTGGCACGCATGACTGCTGCTCCCCCCCGCCCCATGCACATAATTTTTCGCCCTTGAAGAGCTGGCATCTCCACACTCCCTTAGCTTCCAGAGAACAGGATCAAAAGCAAGCCGCATCCTGGCACGCATGACTGCTGCTCCCCCCCGCCCCATGCACATAATTTTCCGCCCTTGAAGAGCTGGCATCTCCAGATCTCCCTTTGGCAATGAGAGCCTCCTCGCTCTGTGGATGGGCAGGGGACAGGAGCTGAGGAAGCAGTGCAGGCGAATAGCAGCCAATGGGACCTGAGAAGCTCCATGTCCTGCAGTCTGCATGCCTCCCAGCCCACGCTGAAGATGACAAGCTGCAACTGTCCCCTGGAGTCTGCTTATATACACACTTACTTTTTACAATTTTTTTTAAATACATCACCCCGCTCTAACCGTTCAAAAGCTATTAGATGGATTGGGTTTTGGGGGTTTTTTTGGGAGAAGGAGGAGGGAATCTATAAAATTTTAATAGAATGAAATGGGGTCCATATGCATGGAAAGATTAGGAACCACTGCTCTAGGCCACGAGATACTTGTAGTTTTCCATTTTTTCTTCCTCCTAGATATAATCTGGTGGGGAGTTTTTTAATTTTGTTTTTCAGAAGTTTATAACTTCCTTCTAACTTTGTTCTCATTTCTGTTTTTAATTTGGGAGAGCTAAGCTGAAGTATCACCTATTTTGAAGCCTAAGAGATCAGTGATTTCCTCTAATAAACTCTAAGCTCCATCTCCCATTTCACCCTCAAGAATGGCAACTTCATAGTGCGCAAGGAACATAGATCCTCCAAGATATAGTTGTCAAGGAAAGAGGCACTGGCTGTGATGCCAAGAACCAGCTGCAGAGAGAATTAAAAGTTAGGACATTAGCTTTTAACTTAAATTCTATAAAAAGCCACTGTAACAACAGGAGCACTACTCAAATGAAGCTGGCTACTTCATTCTGGCTAAAGTAACACACATGCCATGATAAAGCTTCAGAGGGGTAGCCGTGTTAGTCTGAATCTGCAAAAAACAATGAGAAGTCCTATGGCTCCTTATAAACTAACAGATTTTCATCGGACGAAGTGGGTCTTTGCCCATGAAAGCTTATGCTCCAATAACTCTGTTAGTCTGTAGGGGTGTGTCTAGACTACATGCCTCCGTCGATGGAGGCATGTAGATTAGACAGATAAGCAAAGGGAAATGAAGCCACAATTTAAATAATCGCGGCTTCATTTAAATTTACATGGCTGCCGCGCTGAGCTGACAAACAGCTGATCAGCTGTTTGTCGGCTCAGCGCGGCAGCCATGTAAATTTAAATGAAGCCGCGATTATTTAAATCGCGGCTTCATTTCTCTTTGCCAAATAAACAAATCTACCTGGCTCCGTCGACGGAGCCAGGTAGATTTGTTTATTTGGCAAAGAGAAATGAAGCCGCGATTTAAATAATCGCGGCTTCATTTAAATTTACATGGCTGCCGCGCTGAGCTGACAAACAGCTGATCAGCTGTTTGTCGGCTCAGCGCGGCAGCCATGTAAATTTAAATGAAGCCGCGATTATTTAAATCGCGGCTTCATTTCTCTTTGCCAAATAAACAAATCTACCTGGCTCCGTCGACGGAGCCATGTAGTTTAGACGAACCCTAAGGTGCCACAGGATTTCTCGTTGTTTATGCTGATGAAGTCTGCAAGACACAATGGAGTGGATGACTGTGGCAAAATCATTCAACAACATGAGCATGGCCCTACCAAATTCATGGTCCATTTTGGTCAATATCTTGGTCATGGGAATTTAAAAATAAATTTCAAAATTTTAGCTATTTAAATCTGAAATTTCACAGTACTGTAATTGCAGGAATTGCAGGAGTTAGGGGCGTACAAGGCTATTACAAGGTACTGCTACCCTTACTTCTGTACTGCTGCTGGTAGTCTTGCCTTCAGAAGTGGGCAGCTAGATATCCTAGCCATGAGGATGGCCATGAGCTCAGCTCTGAAACAGAGCAACTCCCTGCCTACAGGGAGTTGCTCCAGCCCCACAGGGCCCATTGCAGGTATGGGACATCTGGTTAGAGAAGCCCATGTCCATGGCAGGCATGACCAGCCCCCTCCACCGCATGCAGGGACTGATCTGGCAACTGCCATTCTAGCCACCCAATGCTGAAGACAGAAGCACAGAAGTAAGGGAGGCACGTTATGATACTGTCACCCTTCTGCGCTACTGCTGGCGGGATGCTACCTTCAGAACTAGTTGCTCAGCTACCATTCTCAGCCACCACCTCCGAAGGCAGCAAAGAAGTATGGGTGACAATACCGTGACCTTCCTAAAATAACCCCCTATGCATTTGGGAGGTCAAGGCCCCCAGTTAGAGAAATGCTGGTCTCCTCTGTGAAATATATATAGATGAGAGTAAAAGAACACATATTTCAGGGAGGGAGACCAGATTTCAGTCTGTGACATGTTTTTCATAGCCTTGAATTTGGTAGCTAGCTAAACTTTGGAGGAAGGAGACATTTTTCATAACCACCACCATTTGAACACTCTAATAACAGCAAGGAGTTGAAGAGGACCACAAAGCTGTAGTCTGATTACAATTATGAGGACTAATTCCTTCCAACAGAGCAGGACAGCCACCCTCTTAGTGGTTCCATTGCCGCTTTCATTGTTTGGTCTTCCAATAATAAATATTATTCCTTGCTATTTGTGCTTCACTATTTCATTTTGCTCTTTGAAAAGCCTTCAATTCCATAGATTCACTCCAACGCTGAAAACTCAGAACATACATGGCATTAAGCTAACTTAGATACTGGGCTATTTCCTACCTTCCTGTATAGGTCGAGGAAATTTTCAAATTCCACCATCAACTAGCCTCTTCAGCAGAGTTGGGCAATTGTTCATCGGGGTTAGCCCTCGCAGGCTAACAGACACTTTATTTACCTCAGGTACAGCTACTTCAGCTCCCACAGTTCACTATTCCTGGCCAATGGGAGCTGCAAGAAGTGGTGGACTGAAAGCTGCGGATATGCAAGTAAATAAAGCATCTGACAGTCCACCAGGAGCTAACCCTGACAAACCATGCCCAGCCCATGGGCTGCTTATTTTCCACCCCAGCTCTACAGAATGGAATTAGGGGAAGGTGACTGAGGAGTTCAGACTAAGTTCTAAGTAATCAGTGTTATTTCGCCAGTTTGTGAATTTTTCCCGTATTCCACTAGAGCTTGCTTTGTGTGTGGAGAAGTACCTCCACTTTCATAAAAAAAAAATGTGACATGAACTCTGCAGAAGACCCTTCATCAAGCCAATGATAGCATGTGAAAGATATGGGAGACTCATGATATTTTATGAATAAGATATGTCCAGCAGTTTCTTATTGCACTGCTTACTATAAGACTACCAGGATTAAGACCAGCAGGAGATACTTTGACATTTTGTGCTGTTTTTCCCCTTTCCTGATGCTTAGCAGACACCAAGAGCTATTATGATAGCCTCTGACTCAGTTCAAGAGACACAGGGAAACAAAGACAACGTGGGACTGATAAAACAGCAGGAGAGAGACCCATGAAAGCAGACTGAACCCCAACCCCTAAAAGCAGGGGTGTCTGGATAAGTCTCCCTTATCTTTGTATAAAACAAATGTGCAGATTGCTTAACAACATGCATGTGTTAATAACCCTTAGCTCTTCATCTGCTTTGTTCCTGCTATGAAATTTTTGTTTAAAAGTTGTTCTGAAAGGACTGTTTTGAGTCACCATATCCAGAAATTGGTCACAGCTCCTAAAGGGAAGGCTGACGGTGCTCCAGTCCAGTCAGCCCTACTGAAGAACCACAATCAGTAACACAGCATGCTATATACCCAGGACCCAGTCTGAAAGTGGGAGAATTGTAGGATTCCTCCTTGGGAGAGGTAAAGGTAAGAGGCCTGACGTCTAGAAGGGATGTCCCCAACCAGGCTAGAATGGGTTGAATGTCTAGATAATTGACCCATTACAAAAATAACCTCACCATTGCTTGAGTTTTGGAATGGCTTCTCTCCCTCAGCTCTCGTCTGCTTTTCATTCATCTCAGGGGTCCCGTGTGCCATAGAACTCGGCTGGCGGTGTCTTACCGAAGTACTATCTTCGCCTACCATTGTTGACTGCCATAGAAAAGAGAGGAAATAATTGGTTAGCTGGATAAACATGTTATGTCTGAGGCCTTTTGCTACGTTTTTCCTGTCTTTGACTGCCCAGTGTGGCGGGAGAGAGGGAGAATAAATGGAATTGGCAGTCTAACAGAGCTAGACCCCCTCCCATCCCAAATATCTGTATAGTAAAACTTGCACCAAGAACTATACCTCCTACTCCCTTCTCTCCACACTAGACAGGAAGCGGAACGAACTATTGCTTAAACATTTATTTTTGCACCACCCACCCCAGAATTAAAAATATAGACTTGTTCTTTAAAGAGGGAGAGGAAGGGGCGTTTTTCCCCACGTGATCACCAAGAGAAATATGGCACCTTGTCCTGCTCTTGACTAACAAAATGGAAATGTATGAAGCACCCTAAAGTAGAGATGTAAAATCCCATTTAATATGTTAACTGGTTAACCTATGTTTAACCAGCCCATCTCATCACATCTGGAGCACAGCGGGGCCAGTCAGAATGCTTCAGCCCGGAAGGACACCTGTTTACCGGTTACCCCAGTAAGCATGCCAGTAAGACAATGCTTACCAGTTAATCAGTTACTCCTTTACATCCCTACCCTAATGTTGCACCTGCAGAAACTGATGCATATATCTGATGCATACATTTATCTAATCACAGTGCTTCTCATCCAGAAGCCCTGTAGTCCAGAGTGCACACTTTATGCATATTTATAAATACATATGCACTCACTATTGAAAGGCAATATCCATTTAAGAAAATATACCAACAGTACAACCAGAGTTGACACTCTTGCAAGAAACAAGATCTCTTTCAATCACATATGGTGAGGCCTTTAGCTTCATAGACTTGATTATATGTCATTTATCATGCAAGGTTAAGTAATGATTTTTGGCACATGAAGAAAGGTACTGTACTTGGGGGCTAGGGAATCCATCTTAATCTGCATCCTTAGAATTAGAAGGCACGATATTTTCCTGCAATATCTGGCAGCTGCCAATGGGTCAGTCTAGCAAAAAAGAAAATATTCTCTCTCTTCTAATCTTCTTTGGTGCTGAGCCAATCACAAGACACAGCTAAGATAAGTCAGACATTTTCAGGTGCACTGCTTTACGAGTGTCACCCTGACACACATGAAGGCCTGAAAGAATACAACGAACAAGCTACAATATGGACACAAGAATCACCTTGCCTTTTCTGATAGGTGAGAATTTAATATTGCAATGACAGCTCCCTTACTTAATGGCAAATGACTTTCTGCACTATTAATTCAGAACCTGAAATTAAACCAACATAACTAAGCAGCAGCAAGCTAAACCCCCTCACATTTGTATTTTTAGTTATTATCCTTCCCCTTCTTTGCCAAGAACTCCGTTTCCTTTTTATGCCTTGGTCCAGTGCAGTGAATCACTTCTGGCTTCCTTCCTTCCACAAGATCAGCATAACACTGTTTCCACATGCTGAACTTTCTCTTACAAATACCCTTCTGTCCTCTTCTACTCTCAGGAAGAAACCGTGATTATTTCTGATGCCCACCCTTTGCTTTGTCCGGGCTTCAGAACCATGAACAGATCCTCTCAGCAGATTTTTCTCAGCCAGGCTCATTTGAAATGGAATATCAAATACTAGGTACTGTATCTCATTCACAAACACAGACATTGTTTTTATCCACCTTCCTTTTTAATTATTACCAAAAATCCTGAGCTCACCTCACATTATTAACAGAGAAGCAACACATATTAATATATCCATGTTTATACAGTCACACATAAAAAGGTTGTGACATGGCTTCAAGCTAAACAGCAGCCTATAATTAACAGAGTTTTTGTTCTCCATATCAGTAGGTTGTGTTTTTTTAAACATGATTTGGTCTGAGGAAGCACAGAGAGACCGAAAATCAAGTTAGTCCATTAGCAAAAACAAGCCTATTATGGCCTGTCAATAAAATGCCATTTATTATTTTGCTGGCGCTCGGTACATTTGTGTAGCAAGTGGACGTCTCTCTCTGCTAAGCTACTGTTACTACAATACAGACAAGGTGAGACACAACGATATTTATTACAAGACACTCTTCAGGAAGAACTGCAACGCCTGACCCAGACTCTCCTGGAATGCTCCTCTGGCCTGCGTTCAGAGAACCAGGCTCGCAGAGATCGAGTCTCTGAGGCAGGAACAAGCCACATCGCTAATGGGTGTTTGTCTAACCTGTTCCCAGCACCCTCCAGAGCGAGGATCCCACAGCGCTGCTGAGCCGGGGGGGGGGGAGTTTTCCTGACCTCTGACCTCAGGCGGCCTTGCAGATCAAGCCCGCCAGCGCTGTCC